TTGCATGCCTCCCAGGATAGTAATTGTCTGTTCTATCGTATGAGACACCAGAGTGATCAAACTTGTTCAAGGATGAATTGTATTGCCCCTTTCTGTAATCAGATCCCCCTAAAGTGATATGATGCGTGGTTAGCAATAAATAATGAGGCTCCCTGGTTCTCGGGAGGGTGGCTGAGAAGGACAAGGCAGCTGTTTCTACTCTGATGGCTAAGTCCCCTCCACGAGGACCATCAAGTGGGGCTGAGGTGAGCAATGCTACCATGAATTGTGTCTGACTCCATTACTTGACTTCATCTTTTAACTCTCACACTCTCTATGACGTTACTATAATCTCTACTTATTATCGCTGTACAATTGCGCCTACCGAACCTGTGATGTTTTTGTGGGGTTCCCTCTTCCCTTCAACCCCACAGATGTCAAGACGTGTCTTGACTGAAAGCAGAGAATACCAGAAACAAACTATGGGTAACCTGGAGAAGAATGGGAATTCCAGAACACTTCACTGTGCTCATGAGGAACTTGTACATGGATCAAGAGGTAGTTGGGTGAACAGAACAAGGGATGATTGCACGATTTAAAAACAGGAAAGAAGTTTGTTAGGTTTGTATCCTCTCATCACATTATTCAATCTGTCTGCTGAAGCTGGATTATATGTGGCATCAGGATTGAAGGAAGGCTTTTTAACAAGCTGCTTGCTGAAAGTGAGAAGGAATGAGGCACTCGCTGATGAAGATCAGGGATAGTAACCTTCAGTGTGAATTACAACTCTAGATAAAGAACTGGATCCTCACAACTGGATCATGATAAATGGAGAAAAGATTGAAGTTATCTAGGATTTCTTCTTGCTTGGATCCACAACCAATGCTCATGGAAGCAACAGATCAAAGGACACATTGCACTGGGTAAATCTGCTGCACAAGACCGCTGTAGAATATTGACAAGCCAGGATGTTACTTTGAGGACTAAGGTGTTTTTGGCCCAAGCCATAGTATTTTAAATCTCCTCATATACATGTGTACGTTGGACATTGAATAAGGAAGCCCATAGAAGAATCAATGCATTTGAATTGATTATTGAAAGAATATTGAAGAATTCTGAAAGATTATTGAAGAATATTGAAAGTACCGTGGACTGCTAGAGACAAACATATCTGACATGGAAGAAGTATGGCTCGGCTGCTCCTTAGAGGCAAGGATTTTGAGACTTTGCCTTACATACTTTGGACCTGTTGTCAGCAGAGACCAGTCCCTGGAGAAGGACATCGTGGTTGGAAAAGTAGAGGGGCACTGAAAGAGAGGAAGGCCCGCAAGGAGACGCCACAGTGGCTGAGACAATGCCTTTAATCATAGGAGCAATAGTGAGGATGGTGCAAGAAACTGGTAAGAGTCCAATCTAAGCCTAACTAACACTGTATCGCCTCTGTAAACATTTCTAGGCCTAACTAACAGCTGCCTCGCTTCTGTAAACATTCGCCCATAAATTACCATCTGAAAGGCAAGTCTTGCCAACAAAACAATACCTCAGCACGACTCCTGACATCCTGCAGAGCTGCAGACCTCCTGAGAGAAGACTGCAGTCAATCGAGACCCCAAAAGAGGGTCTTACACTGGCTGGTGTTTTCTTCTGTTGTACACATAGGGTTGCTATGGGTCAGCACCTGGCAGCAACAGCAGCAACAACACAGAGTATGGGTAAGAGGGTTCTACAAAGAAAACCTAGAAGAAGAAAAACCCCAAACCCACTGCCATTGAGTCAATTCTGACGGACAGTGAGCCTGTAGGGCAGAGTCGAACTCCCCCGTGGGTTTCTAAAGCTTTCCATCTTTATGGGAGCAGAAAGCCTCTATTTCTCTCACAGAGCTGCTGCTAGTTTTGAACTGCTGACCTCATGGTAAGCAGCCCAGCACACAACCCACAACACCACTGTGGCTCCTTTTTCTTAGAAGACAGAAGAATAAATGTGAATATCACACTTTCGTAGTTGAGTGCTCTGCAGCTAAGACAAAAGTTGGTAGCTATAAAGATTAAATAAACTAAAAAAGTAGACTCACTGCCGTCAGGTCCATTTGATTCAAAGGACCCCTATGTGCCAGAGTAGAACAGCCCCTTTGGGTCTCCCAGGTTTTACATCTTTACAAAGCCTCATCTTTTTCCCACAGGGAAGCTGGTGGATTCAAACTGCTAACATTGCTGTTAGCAGCCCAATGCATAACCCACTAAGCCATTAGAACTATGAAACCCTATGGAGCAGTTTTGTTTTATCACTTGGGGTCCCTAATGGCAATTAACAACAATAATCCCGTTGACAAGGAGAAGTTTGTCAGGTAAGGGCCAAAGACAAACCGGCCCTTGGCTCATAGAGGAAAAATGCATGGCACCATTTGTGGTTTGGGAGATAGGCAGGGTCTTTCAGGTAATCTCAGGATTTTACACTTTAGCCTAAAAATGAGGGGAGCTTTAAGAAGGATATAGGTATAAGAGTATTATGATTTCTATGAGTGAAATCAACTCGATGTTGGTGAGTTGATGAATATAAATTTAAAAAAAGATTAATCTAGAAGTCACTTGCAGCTCTGCCGGAGAAAGATGAAGCTTTTTACTAAAAGAGCTACAATCTCAGAAACCCACAGGGGCAGTTCTAACCTGTCCTATGGGGTCACTATGAGTCAATCAACTCGATGGGAGTTAGTGAGCCCTGTCACACCAAAACGTTATACAACTACTGGCCGATGAATTCAACGGCAACTCAGTGGAAGAGAAGAGACATTCCCGCAGAAGATACAAATGCATTGAGCAGTGGTTCCCAACCTGGGGGTCGTGAC